GAATGACCGGATGAGCATAGATTGCAAGGACCTTATGCCCTAGGTAGGCATATGGCGTTTGACTTTGAATTTTTTCTGGGGCAATATGAAGTCCAAATCGCAATACCTCTTTAAGGCAAGGTAACGCTGCCTTAACCGTTCCCGGTGGGCCGGGAGCTGCAATTAAAATATCATCCATGTAATGGTAAACCTTCCACCCAGGATGGGAGGTTCTGAACGGAGCCAGAGCCATTCGAACATATGACTGGCACATCGTTGGACTGTTTAGCATTCCTTGTGGCAAAACCTTCCATTGGTAACGAAAGGTAGGTGCATTGTTATTCAACTCAGGTACGGTAAAGGCAAATAATTGCTTGTCATCTGGATGCAAAGGGATAAAAAAGAAGCAATCCCGCAAATCTACTACAACTAGATCCCAATTGCACGGGATCAGGTTCGGGTTAGGCAAGCCACATTGTAACGCTCCCATTGGTTGAAGGATGGCATTGACAGCTCTCAAATCGTGTAAAAATCTCCATTTTCCACTTTTCTTTTTGATAACAAACACCGGAGTGTTATATGGACTAGAAGTTGGCTCAATGTGGCCTAATTGTAGCTGCTCAGCTACCAATTGATGTAAAGTTAAAAGCTTTTCCTGTGGAAGTGGCCATTGGTCAATCCAAACTGGCTGAGAGGTTAACAGTTGTAACTTTTCTATTATCCAATAACAATTTTTGTGCGGAACTGTGACAGCAAATCTCTACCACACAAGTTTATGTGCAGGGGCAACACAAGAGGTTGAATCCTTGCAGTCTCACCAGTTGCTCTATGCAATGCCATCAACCAATGTACACTACTTCTTGCAAACTGCATGCTACCTACTCCACGAACAGCTGGAGAGTCCTCAAGCGCCCGTTCATTTGGCCATTCCTTTTGGCGTATCACAGAGACATCTGCTCCGGAATCTATAAGGCCAGAAAATGATTTTCCCTGAATTTCAATTGTCATTTTAGGTTGGTCTGTAGTCAACTTTTTTTTCAGCGCTAGCAATTCTGCAGCAACTGGAGAACTGGCCATTTCAGTGGACCCAAAACCGCCAGTTCGTGGGATCCCAATTAAAGGATTCATAGGAATGTATGGAAGCAATAATAACTGGGCAATAGAGTCACCGGCCATTAATGATGCAGGAGTATCAGTGTACAATTGTACCTTAATAACCCCTTTATAATCTTGATCAATAATCCCTGGAATAACAAAGAACCCTTTTTTTGATGCAGAAGACCTGGGAAGTACCAATCCCACTGTTTTTTCTGGCAGTGGCCCATGCAAATGAGTGTCCTCAATGTACACTTGATTAGGAAAAGTCACATCAATCGAGTGCAACATTTTTAAACCCAAACCTGCACTCCCGGTAGTTGCAGGCGATGCCTTTGTGACAGCCTTGGGAGCAGGGCTAGCTGCACGCCCCAAATTTAGTTTCCCGAATTTTGGTTCTGACCAGAGCGACATTGATTTGCCCAATGAAACCCTTTTTTGCATTTCGGACAGACCGACTTCGGGCGGACGTCCTTATTTTTGTTTTTGTTAAACGCCATTCCCCCCCCAGGGGCTCGGCACTGGGCTTTAAACTGGCCAGGCTTCCCACAATTGAAACAGTTCCCCGTAGGTTTCATCCCTTTTTGTAATGCCATAGCCAAAGTCTCCATGTTGTAAGCCTGAGAATCCACCACTGCACATGCCTTTAACAGATCAGCCAGAGTAACCTCACCTCTAGCCACCAAAGGCTGTAAGATACGCTTGCAGTCAGCGTTTGCATTTTCGACTGCCAATTTCAGCAAAAGTTCCTTTGCCGCTTCCTCATTAGAAATTTGCCGGGTAATAGCCAATTGTAGCCTTTCCACAAAATCGTTATAGGACTCAGATGCTGTTTACTTAATTTGAGAAAAAGACCGTGCCGGGGTTCCCACGTCCTGGATGCGGGACAACTCCCCAAGGACAGCCGCCATAACCACGGGAAATACGTGATCAGGCAAATTAGTAGCTTGATCAGCAGTGGATTCAAACAAGCCTGCCCCATAGATTTGGTCTAGTGTATACAGCCCCCCCAAATTCCGTCCCCTAGTGATAGCTTCCCTCTGGTACTCTGAATCAAAAAACACATACTGAGTAGAGCTCAATATCATTCTCAATATCATTCTCATTAAATCTTTCCAGTCATTAGGAATCATGTGTGAGGTAGCCAAACTTGTCAGGAGACCCTTTGTAAAAGGACTTTGAATACCGTAATCTTTAACGGCTTTCTTTATTTCCCTAAGTACTGCCAACAGAATTGGAACCCATTCCGCCTGCAGGTTGCCTTGAGCATCCACTTGCCTATTAACTGGAAACAAATTCATCTGTGGAATCTCATCAGGCTCTAATTTCCCCTCATTGAAAGCCTGATGCATCATTGCTTGAACTTTTCCCATTTGTGGCTGGGGTTTCTCCTCCACAGGCGTAGGCGCTGTTGGGGGTGAGAAAACATACTCCAGTTTTGGAGTCGGAGGGTGCAACACAACTCCTTTATAAGGAGGAGGCTCTATTAAAGGTTTTAAAAGAGGTTGTTGCTGGGTCTCTAAAGCAGTCATCACAACCTTCCAATATGTCAAAATTTCAGCTGTTGCCCGTGGTTCCTCATGAAGGATAGTTCCAATTTTCCTCCACGTGTCTAACTTTAAAGAGCCTCTCTCTGAGTACCAGGGGCATTGCCGCCAGATCTCTTGCAGCAGCTTTTTCACATTACCTTTTGAAAGAACTATATGCTCCCCTCCAGAGGGTTTAAAGATAAAGAAATTTGTCCTGACTAACTTCAGCAGCTCACTAACATGACGTTCCTGTGACTGAGAAAGTTTTCCCCCCATGTTCCCTGAAAAATCCTATTGTCCAGCAATAGTTAAGTACGTACTTTACCTATTCCAGGCGAGGAAACACGGAGGTCCGGACATGTACCACCTGCCGTGGATCACGTCGGGGTCACCACTTGTGGTGGTCTCTCATGGAAAGATGAGACACAAGCAAGTGTTCTCAGGATGAGAGCCCAGAGCAAAATCCAGCACTCCCTTTTATTGAGATTTTAGTACATGGTAAACATAGCAAGCATAATCACATGATGGGTTACAATAGTTAGATATAGTACAGACTTGTTTACAGTCATCTGAGCTGCTTCCTTGTTCCTTGTGTTTGTTCTTACCGTTCTCATTGTGAAATTTCCTTGCACTATCTCAGTGACCTTTAAACAAGCATGTATGTACAAAGCATTAGATTAATCATTACCCAAACCCAAGCCAAAGTTTTATTCCCACAGTTAAAAAGTAGAGAAAATAATCACAGGGTAAAAATAGTAATTATATAAAAAAACAAGAGACATAAATGACATAGTATATATAAAAACAGGCAAAAATAGATCTAAGAGCACCGTGAGGAGCATATGTCAGATTAAATCTAACACTGCATGGTGCACACAGTATAATGAACTGGATGCTCCTTAAGACTACTTTATGGCACAGGTCATCCATCATCAGACCAATTTTAAGTGCTGCTCTGCAGAACCTGGAAACATAGTACTGTGTTTTGTATCAGAGCGACTCTGAAAGCAGCAGGAGCTATAGAAATGTTCTGTGCAGCCTGAGTATTTATGCAGTATTGGAAAGACAAGCCCAATATTAATGTCTGTTTAATAAAGCCCCTGGAGAAACATGTGCTTTGTAGTTTCTGTGTGTTCGGGTTCACAGGCACATTGTATTATAACCTGAGCTGTGTTACTGACATGGAGAATCCTTGAGTTCTTTGGTGTCTCCTAAATTCAGGAAACTTTTTAGCAACTTCCACTGCTATCACACACCAGCATTCAAAGGATAACAAGAGGCACCTCCAAGCAAAGGAGCTCACAGCAGGAATTGGTAGAAAACTTGAAGATCCTACACCCGTGATGGGGAACCTATGGCACGCGTGCCGGAAGTGGCATGCAGAGCCATCTCTGTGGGCACGCGAGCCGTCGTCC